TGTTTAATACTGACGTATACACTGTAAAAGTTTTCATTTTAGTTATCCTTTCTATTCAATAGAAGGATTAGTTTAATCTTAAAGTTCAAGTTCTCTTTTAGGATATTAGGCTCTACAAAATCATTACTTTAGTCAGCAATCCTTGTATCTTTTTGTATCTTAAGGAAAAAAAAAAAGTAGTTAATCAGATTATGCCTTTCAGTTGCATCCCTAGGTGCAACTAAACTGGGATTTGATTTCCATTCTCAAAGCTTTTTGTGTGTAGTTTTTAAAGCTATTAAGTTGTTTCCATGGTTACTTTGACCACTGAATAAGAACTCTAGTGTTGATTGATGCTTATGAAACTTTTTTGTCCGGAGGCTATTTGGCAGTGGAAAATGTACAACTCAGAGGTTTTAAAAATAAGAAAGTGGGATTTCACAGGGCCTTTCTTTATGTTTTAGTGTGACATTATTAAAAAACTTGTGAGAGGTCATCTTCCCCCTATTCTGATGTTCATCTGTTTTACATTGGTAGAGATCAAGAAATATAGTGTAAATTTAAAGTATTGTTCTGGTAGCTAAAATATTTGAAATTATTGACCTTTAAGTTAGTAACAAATAATTTTGGTTTTCCGTGTGCATCAGTGTGTGGCACCTGGTTATATTTGGGCATTGTAACATTGTATTTTGACAGCTATTACTCATACATTTTCCTAGTATTGTTTCCCTAATATCAAGTCGTTGTGTGGAAAGCATAATGTATACCTTGTGGATCCCACAAGCTTCTTAATTTTGGGTCTGTCTTGTCATATATGTAGACCCAAGTATCTTGCAGGAATTTTGCTGCCAGTTGGATGAAATGTGTAGATTTGGTCATCAGTCCTATTTATACAAAATAGAAAAGGCAGGATTAGGATAAATTAAATATACAGGATAGATTCAGAGGCTTAGGAAAGGATGATAGAAGCTTATAAAATGAAGCTTGCCATCCCACATTATCACATGTGTAATTTGACTATAGCCAGCCATAAATAACATTACTTGTGTGGATATAGAACCTCCCTTCATACTGTACTGCAAGAATAATAAATTTTGTAGGTCCATTTAAAGAGCCTGTAGGGCCAAGAGGTAGAGGTCATCTGCCTCTGATTTTGTGCTGTAACTCTCACTGTGATATAGACCCTAGAGCCTATTATAAAATTGCATATGTCTGAGTCAAGTGCTCTAATCAGTTGAACTGGATTGTCTCTGTGGGAACTCAGTATCTCGCAGTCTTAACTTGGCATGAAGCAGCTATTCCTTCTGCTGTGACTCCATTGTATGTGGTGAAGAAAGGTGAGGTGAGTTTCATCCTAGCATCAGCTAGAGACGGTATATTTCAAAATCTTCTGCTCATTTCCACCCTCCTACACATTTCTTTGTGCCCCCGCACCCCCTTTCTTTACCTCTTGCTCCCTTTTGTGGGGGTGAGACTATGTTTACTTCTGTTAGGGAGAAAGCCAGTGGGAAGAGTAACCCTGAGGAGGTGCGTAGGGAAGAGAGAAAACAAAGCAAGCAGCTGTCCTGCTTACCCTCTTACCAGCCTCTAACCATTTATGGACTTGGGGACTTCCTCAGCTGAAAGTAGCTTTTAGTTACCATCAACAGATTACTTCTCTGTGAACAGCACCTTGAGTCCATGTAAGGTTTTAGCATTCAAATGCCACAGGTTTCTATTTACTGTTTATTGCTATTAGAGTTCTGCTTGGATCATGAGGGTCTATGGGGAGTTGTTCTCCTGGTAGAAGATGTGGTTTGTGCCTATGGCTGGGACAGTATTCGGAGGGTTGTGGTGTATGAGTTCCGTTGGTTCCCTTCTATTCCTGTTGTTTATGTTTTTTGAGGTCACAAATGTGGGATTGTTCTGTTAGCTAGTGTCACATTTAGTTAACAGTTTTTTTAGAAAGGTCCTGGAGGAGCAACTGTGCAGTTTCTGCTTTCTTGGAATGATTTGTGTCTAATAGCAGTCTGCTATTCCATAGTGTCCTAACCATTTTTCATTTATAACATGCTTTTTTCTGCTTCAGTAGAATATGTTACTGTTTAAACACGTTCCAAATTCACTGAGGATATGATGTCCTCATAGGTTGAAGCCAGTATGGCTGGGTTTTCTCAAGGTGTGATTTTTTGCTCTAAAGAGCTATTGTATCTTAACAGCATGGATATGTGAGTAACAATAAGCAAAAGCTTGTTGTAAAATCAGGAAAATAAGTGATTGAAAAGGAGAATTTCTGTGGTACGCATTTTTGTTTTCTAAGTCATGCTGCTCTTAGAATCCGAGTCATGAAAGCCCGATCTTTGTACCTCTCCCCGCAGTATCTGCAGTGCTGTCAGGAAAATATAATAATAAGAAAAATCAGAGTACTGCTGTAACAGAAATTGCTAAGATACAGTGGTGTATATATATAGACTGTAAAATATCTTATTGATTAGAGTTATGCCAGCAGTGTATTTAGCCCCATCTAGCTCTCTTCCATGGCGTAACATATCATATACAATAGAGAAGGATAAATTAAAATCAATTCAAAATTCAAAAGTCTACTAAGAAGACAATGAATTAAACACTGACTGACTGTGTCACAGTAAAAGGGAAGACAGAAATCAGGGAATTGTAGGTGGACTTATTAACCCTGGAGGGGGAGGAGGTAATTTTTTTTTTTGTGGTTCTCTTGTATCTTGCACCCCATCACTAACATTCCAGCTGGAATTCTTACACAAATTCCGAATTACAACCTTGGCAATGTATCTAGTAAAAAACCTCTAACAAGAATGCCAGTATTTTTGAATTGTAGTTAGCTGCATTACTGTGCTACTTCCTTGCTTTTTGCATATGTTCAAAGGAAAAAATGGAATATCACAACAGGTTTCTCTGTGTGTTCTTCAACAATTTATGAAGCAAACTCACATGTACTGTATTGAATAATAAATAATAATATACCTAATGTTAAGTCCGTGTTAAAAAACAGCTATTGCGAAAGTTTAATTTCTAAAAGAACAGAGAAAGAAAATCCTTAGCCTCTTGATTTCCAGTGAAAGTGAATGAGAACTCAGTAATTTAGATATCTTGGTGTTTCCAAAAAATCTCATGTATGTGATTATGGGGTCTAAAATATTTAGTCTCTTTATTTTAAATATATACTTAGGTTGTACTTTTTCTTTTAAGAACAGTGTGTTACAGCTAGCTTGCTAAAACATTGAAGCTGCTTTTCTAGTTCCCAGGATTTTAAACCAGTAGTTATACTCCTATAATAGTTGCAATGGACTTTAAAAAAAGAATATAAAGTTATAGTTACTTACTTTTAATTTCCATCTTGACTTGATGAAACTAGAGTTGTTTCCTTAAAATCATTACCTGTTACTATGAATTTTGTTTGAACAGAGAGGGGAACTTTTGGAAGGTGGTCGTTTAGTTGGTTTCAGAGGAATAAGAGAGTAAGTTTTACAGTTACGAAATGTTAAGTTTGAATCTAGCATAGCGTTCTTCAAAGTCATTTATCATACGTAGCCCTTGTGTGGTTCTTGTGAGGAAAAAAGTATGGCTAGAAAAAAAAACCCAAATAATCTGTAATACATGCACCTTTGGAAACAGAGTATTAGACTTCATAACATTCAGGCATGTTTGGTTTTCTTATCTTCCATGCATACTTCTGAAAAAAGAGCGGTAGTTAAATTGACAAAAATACTTTACTTTTCTCAAAGGGTTAGGTTTGTTTTTTTCCTTCTGACACTGTGGAAGTTCGTTGTATGCAGTTAATGCTGCCTGTAGTGGAATGTGGTAGGAGAACAGCTGTTAAAAATGGAAGGCAACAACTGAATGACAACAGAATGAACAAGAAATGTGGATCTTGTAGAGCCACATTTATCTGAAGTGTTTCCTTATTGTAAGAAAATAAACCTGGTATTAGGGATTCACATTTGAAAAGATATTACTTCTCCTTTGTTTGTCTCTTCTTCTAGTTGTACGTTGGGTTCCAGTACTTCAGCCGTGCTGCTTGTTGCACATGGACTCATCTAAAAAATGTTCTGGCATTCCCTTTTGTCTTTGCATCAGTTTTGGTTTGCTGTTTTTTATCTTTGGTCATACCAATTCAATTCCAACAGTAGTTCATGTAAATTATTGAGCAATACCCTAATTTGGATATTAAAAAAAGCTGTAGTTAGCTGATAAACGAAGGTTAACAACTCTGTTTCTGTCATCTGACTAGGAAAGACCTAGCACTTTCAACATGTATTTCTGCTGTCTTTGAATCATTACTGTAAGCAATGTATTTTTCTGTTGTTTTGAAAATATATTCTTGATTTAGCTGAAATTGCATTTCCTGCACCAGGAAGAAATTTCTCTGTTTTGAGTGTATTTCTCTGTTTTGATGTGCCACTTAGTATGTTGTGAATCAATAGCTTGTTTTTTCCTTAGACAGAAAATCACTGTTGCTGTCAAATTGCACATAACTGGACCTCTCAGTTTTAAAACAGAAAAATAAAGCTTAGATTGGCAATTGATGAGTGTACCTTGTAATGATCCACCTTTTAATTGAGTGTAAGGGGTAACCCAACTAAATTCCTCCTTTAACTAGTTCAGTAAACAATATTTTCAGATGGTCTTGACTTTCAGGATATCACAGTGATCTTAAAATACCTTTTCAGCTGTAAAAATACTTTTATCTTCATAGAAAACGTGGCTTTACCTCTAAGGATGAAATCTGAAAAGTACTTTGTTGAAAGTGAGGTTTTTCTTCCCCCTTGCTGTCTTTATTACAGTAAAATAAAATCTCGCTTATTTGTGTCTTTAAATTTTTCTAGTGGTTATCTGGATTCTGCAGTGGAGGTTGCACAGTAAGACGAGTCATGCTGAAGTGTTGCTGGCAAATATGTTTTCCTATGTTAAATACTTGTATTTCAATGCAACTTTATGCTTTTTATTTTGTTATAAATAACGGATGACAAAATTTTATTTTTAGCAGGTGACTTCTGCCCAGAGAATGCCTTGCAGGTTATAGCAACATCTGGCCACAATGCAGATTTTCCCATTGGCAATCAGCCAGTCTCTGAGGACACTTACAGAATGAACTTGGCTAAAGGAGTCTCAATGTCGCTGCCGTCGTCACCTCTGCTGCCACGCCAGTCCTATTTGGTGCAGTCAAGATCAAACAAAAAGTCTCCAGGTAAAATGAAACTGATGAGCAACTAAAATCATCACAGCACTTTAACTCAGTTTTTGATACACTTTATATAATAGTAGCACAGTAAAATCATGTTAATCTTTTGCAATAAGAACAAGAGTAGTGAAGGCTTATTGTGTGTTCCCAGGGAAAAAAGGTAGTTGGTGATTAATATATTATTTCATATGGCAAAGAATTATTCTAATTGGTATTGCAAATACCTATATTGAAATGTCTGAATATGTTTAAAACTGGTTATTTATGATTAGAATATCAGGTAGAAGGCAGCTGCAAAAACCTTTGTTTATGTATATGTTAGTGACTGTGTAAGAGTGAATATTGTTTGTGGCTTTTACAGTTCATTTATTTTACTCGTATCTACATACATAAATGTATTAATAGATAAATTGCTGCTGAAGTTGTGACAAGAAACTTGTTAATTTTCAATGGTTGTGTCCTTAGTAATGACCGCATACTTATGTGAGAGCCTTGCTAAATAAGGTGCTCCATCTGGTTCTCTTTTTATCAGCATTCTATACATATAAATCATTCCAACACGCTAGCATCACTTGGGTTCATTCAGGTCAAAGCTTGAGCATCAAGTGAAATTGTCCATATTCCTATTACTTGTGGAGACACTCAACAGGTTTGAGGTTGTTTGTTGTAAAGTTTACGAGGTCTAGGAACAAAGAGTGTTGAAAGTTGGTTTTTGTCAGCACTGAGAAATGTCTTGGTTAATGACCCGTTTTACATAAAATTAAGAAAAAAAGGTTGCTCGAAGAATTGCCACAGGATAGTAAATACAATTTGTGAAAAGTATTCTTGGTTTAAGTTGCCTATCAATATTTATTTTTCCCTTTCAGAATTTAAAAATAATAATCTCACTTTGTGTTTAAATAATTCTGGGTTGGTTTTGACAGTTCACGTAAAAATTTTGAGCCACAGAATGGTATTTTGTTGTTTGGTCTCCTACTAGTGATTTGTGTAGGTAAGAGATAGGATGAAGTCCTTGTAATGGAGAAGGAAATGGGATTTTTGCCAAAGACTTAAGTGAAGGTCAGGATCTAACTCTTAGTTTTGTTACTGTTGGGAAAACTTAACTGCATTCAAGGTACATTTGAGATATTATCTTACCAACCTCTCCACTCCATGATTTAGTTTAGTGACACGCATTTTTATAAGCAGAGTATAGGCTGCTGTTTGTCTTGCAGAAAATGTTTAACAGTTGATAGATTTTGAATGAAAAGCCATATTCCCAATGATTTCAAAGTCATTCCACTGTGATATATAGCCAAAGAAAAAGATTTCTTAAGATCATGAAGTGCTGTGAATGCATTGGCATTTATGTATCATTATTTTGTACAAATACCTAACGAGGTGATAGGATGCTGGTGGAAACATTCTGTGCTATTTCTTTGACTTTCAACAAACTATAGATGATGGAATAATAATATAGATGATGGAACAATTAATTAATTTAATATTAATTATCTGTCTAGCATCTGGGGCAGGAGTAATAAAAAGAGAGAGTATACTAATGTACTAATTTCAAAGCGCTGTTTTAGTAGCTTACAAATAGCAAGTTAAAGATTTTTCAGGATATGGTGGATGAAAGAAGAAAGGATTGCACAGAAAGTTAAAGTAATATTCTGAAGTTAAGATGTAGCGATGAAGTTATCTAACCAGTGGTAGAACAAAACTCTAATTTCAGTCCTCTCAGTTTGTAGGTGAAGACAAAGCAACTACTTAGAGATGTATTTTTCAATGTAAATCGTATCATTAATATTTTTTAAAGTCTTTGAAACTGTGTAATAGAGCGGAGGAAAAGATTGTCCCTTGACACGTAATCATTTGTTCTACCTTTTGTTTCTGTTCTGTAGTTCTGTTCGTATAACTCAGGCACGTTGATGGTCATATATGTAAGGTGATACCCTTGCATAACTCATTTCCTTGAAATAAAATTCTAATTAGTGTCTACTAGACTGAAGTGATACACTGTATGTACACTCCTTATGGTAATGGTAATGATTAAAGAGTACATTCACTAAATGCTATCCAGGTTTTAATGAAGAGTTTTTCATAACTTTTTATTGAGTCTGAGTAGTTTTAGTTAAAAATTCTGGCTAGTAAATTAAAAATAGTCAGTTTTTCCTGACAGTGTGTTTCAGAGTTATAAATTAAAAAATAAAAGTTGTAGTTAACCAATAGTTATTTGCACTAATGTTCATGAAAACATCTGTATTTGAGGCTTCATATTCAGTACATTCCCACTTTTCTAGCAAATTTGTTTATACTCTAGCTTACATTTATCTAGTCCTGCATCTATATTTGCTGATTTAAAAAAAACTTTCTTAATTATGCTTATATAATCAGTGAATAAAAACAGGTTTTCGTGGTGAAGTAATTTTAAAATGATGCATGGAAGAACATTCTGTAGTAAGAAATGCACTGTAAAATGTTTTATGGTTTTGTGTAACTGGTATTGACATTCAAACTCTTTCACAGAATTAGTCTCTAATTGGTGATGTCTAGAACAGGAAAATCTTCACTGTAAATTCATTAAGTGACAAGTTGCTCTTACTGCTTTTCGTTGCCCTTTCTGCATATTTCCAAGTGGGTGTTAATCTGTGGCTTCAGAGGGGTATTTTTGTTTTGATTTTTGTTCTAATTTCACCTCTTTGCTTGGCTTCACTACTGCCTGAGACAGTATTTCTGTCCATTGTCATTTCTTTAAAATGTGTCAGCATTTTGAGCAGGACTCGAGCAAACTTTTTCGTTCTATATTTGCTTCATCTGCTTGCAGTCTGGTTATCCATCACATAAAACTGTTGAAAAAAACAGCATTTTAGTTCCACCAAAAGTGATATAGTTAATGATGGACGTATGTTTTATACTTAATTTCATACCTTTTTAGAAAGTTGCACACTCATAGATAGATGGTGCTTGAAAGAAAGCAAATTCTTTGACTGTATCTTGTTAAGCAAAAGGTATTGCAAACATTTTTAACATCTTAGTAAATTTTGGTGATTTACTGTATCATTTAGCAGTAGTACCATATGAAAAACAACAAACAAAATATAAGGCCAGTTTGTAAATTTACATTCAAGCAATGTATAAATCCAAACAGAAACGGTTTAATTTATGCTTTAAAACAATGGAAAAGTACTTCCCCCTACCCCCACCCCTTCCTATCAGGCATATTCGTACTCGTGTGAACATTTGCTAATTTTGAAGGTTATTTTAACTTCTAAGTTGCTTCAGGGTTTTTTTGAGTTTATCTAATTTTTTTTTAAATTAAAAATGCAATGGTAGGAAAAGGATGTTATGCTTGAAATTATTTTTCCTTGTGAATGTTGTATACCTCTTTGTAGTTTTCTACTCCAGATGACTCAGAGAAATAGAATGGTTTTGCCAGTATGGATTAGCCACAGAGGTACTGTGGGGACTGTGGTGTTTTCATTCTGTCCCTTTAGACTAAGAGGCTTTTGTTCCATCATAGGCATATTTGTTCCATGAATAATGTAATTATCGGTTCTCATCTCACTGAGAAAAGCACTTAGGTAGCTTAATGTTTAGCAAGTTAGAGGTATCTGTTCAGAACAGATTTGGAAATTGCTAGTCTGGGGACCCCCTGGACCAACACAGGACTTCTTGGTTTTGGTGTCTCTTTGAAACTGCTATCCTGATCTCTGGCATCCCACTTTTCATTTCCTTTCTCTCATCTGCTACCCCTCTAGGTAGGGGTTCAGGCTTGAGACTGAACTGATCAGTCCTCGTACTCTAGGAGATCAGTATGTTAGGACTGTTAGCTATTTTATTGTTCCTATCACAGTGGACAGGCATGATGACAAATGTGCACAACTGAGAGAGGCATCTTTGCTGCAGTGCGTGTGTGGTCATAGCTGCTTTTTTTCCCAAGCATCTGCAAGTAGGTCAGCCACTAGAACCTCATAACACACGGGCAGGCAAAGCCATGGGAGAGCAAGCTGAACTTCTTCACTGGAACATGGAAGGCTGCACAATCCCATTTGCACAATCTACTGTGAGTGACACTGTGTTTTAATTATTTGCATAGGAGGTGGGGGAGCTTTTTCTTTGTGAGAAGAGCCAGTGGTTCTGGCCCCAGTTCAGTCCTCAACTCTATAAAAGGAGGGAAAAGAGAAACTATGTCTTAAATTACTAAGGAGCCTAAAATTATTGGCAGAACCAGTTCATTTGGAGTCAAAAGCTTCCTTAATGAAATAGTTCATTGAGGAGGAGGTGGATAAAAGAGCAGAAACAAACACAAGGAAAAAGTTGTCAGCAGGACAACTCTGGGAAGGGGAGCAGTAAATGGAAAAACTGTCACAGTAAGTTGAGTTTCTTCTACTATAAAGCTAGAATGAACATTGCTTGGATTGGTAATCTTACAGGTGTGCAACTAAACCAATATTTATATTCTTAAAGGGATAATAGTTGATTGTACTCTGATTTAGGAGGGTCAACTAAAAGAATGAAAATAATGATTTCTAAACGAGGTTCCAAAAAATTGGTTGTTGGAGTTAGGGTGTGAATGAAAGATACTGCTCCTGCCCTTTAAGTAAATGTTTGCTGACTTAAATTATTGATACCATCATGCTTGAACAGAGAAAGGAAGCAGCTTTTAAAGACATCAGTGAATGCCAAAGATGACTGCTGGAACAGACTGCCATAAATGTGCAACGGAACTTTTAGTTAGCTTTTAAATTAAACTTCAATGAAAACTTTTAATTAATAAATTAATCAGCATACCTGATACTTGAGACTAGCCTAGGTAAGAGAACTGGTTTCACCTAAGGCTTCAGTTTTGTGCACCGATCTTGAGAACACTGGGAAGCAGTTCCTCTTGCATGCGATAAGCTATCCAAGTGCAAGGTCCTGTGCCTGGGTCAGGGCAATCCCCAGTATTAATACAGATACAGATTCATTTAACACTGATGGGAGGGAAAGCCAGTTCAGAGGATTAGGAAGGAAATGCACAATAT